GGCCTGAGGACCCGGGAACTGATCTGCAAGGTCTCCCAGGCTGAGGTGCCAGCGCCCAGCTGGCTGGGGCTCCGGGCCCAGCAGACACTCATAAATGCATGGCTGAAGGGGTGACCACATCTGGGCCCCGTCCACCAGAAGGGGCACCGCACACTCCTGCTCGGGGTGGGGGTGGGGGTGGGGAAAAGGCCTCCGGTTACACTGTGAGCTTCTCCCGTAGAGACGCGTCCCTGCTTCAGAGATGCGGGGGGGGGGGGGGGGGGGGCAAGGGGAGGGGTTAAAGGGGAAGAAGGGGATTAAGTGCTTACTCTGTGCAGTTGAACACTGATAGATAAAGGGCGCTGCAACGCCCTCCCTCTGTATAATTAAAAAGATCGTTTAATTCCCGCGATTAAAACCTAAGCTTCTCTCCCACCTGAGCTGCTTTTAACCAAGCAGACCCGGCAGCGGTTACACAGACGCCGGGGCTCCGGAGCTCCGGTTCGGAGCCATCTGGTTTGAGGCAGTGCGACAAGCGGGAGAGGGAACCGAATCAAAGGCACGGCGGGCATTTTTTTTTTCAAATGCAGAAAACGTGTGGGGTAGCCCAGGAGACCACCCCCCTCCCCTCTGGGGACCGGGTGCCACCACCTGGTCTCTGGCTGGACACGGAGGCGGCTTCGAGGGGTGAGGGCGGCGGTCGGGAGGGAGGAGGCCTGCGGGCTCAGGATGGGCAGACGCCTCAGATGCCTGCTCCCCTGCATTGAGGGGAAACCGAGGCACTGGGCCACAGAGCCAGCGCGCGTGCTCTCCCTCACACCCGGGTCCCGGCTGGGCAACACTCCTGCCACCCCCGGAATCACCCCCTCGGTCCTGGACGCAGCCCCTCGGCCCCACCTCCCCGCCGCCTCCTGCACACGGCCGGCCGGCCCTGCCCTCAGCAGCTGTGGCCCCGGGTCCGCTGTGCGCGGGCGCTTTGATCTGCAGCACACCTGGCGATCAGGGCCTCCCGCTCCGCCAGCCACAGTCATATGGGTCCCACACACGCTGTGGGCTTCCCCAGCGGGAGGGGGGGGGCTGGGGCTCCCCGGGGTGGAGGCTGGAGCCCTACAACCACTAAGCTCCCCTCCTCTCCCTGCAACTGCAGGCTTCCGGCTCCCCCCGTTTCATGGCCAAATGTCAGCTCATGGCCTCTGCACCCCAATGCTCCCCGGGGGAGACGGCCACCAGCCTCTCCCACAGACCCGTGCCCCCATCTGCAGTGCCATCCAGTGCCCGGCATGCTGCCTTCTCTGTCCCTCTGAAGGCGTGGGCGTCGCCAGCTTTACGTGACGGCCGTGCAAGGGAGGGGGCCGCCCAGAGCCTCTTCAAACCATGCGTGCGGGCAAGGCCCTGTGTCCTGTAGGGCCTCAGGGCGCCCACATCTCAGCGTTGGGAGACTCGGGTGCGAGGAGGCTGCGCTGTGAGCCCCAGGCGCCTGGAACCGGTGAGTCTTCCCAGGCGGTGGTGTGGGCTGTCCACACCAGCAGGCGGAGCTCCCCAAGGGCCCTGGGGTGGAGCGAAGGCAGGTCTTCCTCCTCAGAGAACAGGAGCTGGGCTGCTGGGGGGTCGTCCCGCCACCCCTCAGGGTCCTGGGGTTCCCTAGTCCCTCACGTGGGACCAGAAAGGGTGAAGGGGAATGGGCAGGCCCACCGCTCCTCGCTGTACTTTACACGTTGGGGGGCTAGTTTTCTTGAAGGGCTTCACGTGGTCAGGGGTCTGGGGTCCCAGGACCCGAAGATCTCGGAGGTCCTTGCGAGTCCAAACTCCTGTCCTCCCAGGTCCATGGAGACAGGCAAGGGGCCTCTGGGCCGACTGGGGGGCTCAGGGGGAGGTGCTGTGGAGGCATCCAACAGCTTCGGGATGAGCCCGTGAGGGGCAGGGTGGGCAGGACCCCAAGCCCTGCACAGCACAGCGGGCACAGAAAGCCAGGTGTGGGTGCAGAGGAACCCTAAGGGAGGGGCACGGAAGCAAGGAGGAGTCGGACACAGGAAGTCAAGGACTGTCCAGGGGCAGATGCCGCCACAGCAGCAGCCAGACAGAACCTGCAGCCGGGGGCGCTCAGGAGCGAATGACCAAGAGATGCCCTGGTGCCTTTCTGAAGTGGGGAGCCTCCCGGAGAAGCTGGGTAACCCCAATGAGCCCTTCGTTCACCGCCCCCATCCTGGGGTGCAAGGCAGGGTGACAGCAGGGTAACCCGGTGAGGTGATGCGTGCCCCCACTCGGCAGGCTGCCCGGAGGAGCCTGCCCCGCCCTCGGCGCCGGACATTGATGCATCCCCCTAAACCCATGGTTGGCAAACTGCGGCTCTCGAGCCACAGGCGGCTCTCGGGCCCCTTGAGTGTGGCTCTTCCACGAAATACCTCGGCCTAGGCGAGTCTATTTTGAAGAAGTGGCGTTAGAAGAAGTTTAAGTTTTAAAAAATGTGGCTCTCCAAAGAAATGTCAATCGTTGTCCTGTTGATATTTGGCTCTGTGGACTCATGAGTTTGCTGACCACTGGCCTAAACCAACCAGGTGCCCTTCACGGGGCACTGGCAGCACTGAGCCATGGGAGCAGCAGCATGGGCAGCCTGGGACACACCCCGAAGCAGGAGCAGCCAGCCCAGGCACCCCGCTGCCCGACCCCCTTTCTGAGGTCTCCGCTGGGCAGACTCATCATCCACGGGGCAGAGGAGAGAACACCATGCCTTTGGGGGCTTGTACGTCCGTGCAGGGCAGGCCCTCGTTTGTAGCGTCCGGCACTCGGAAGGGAGCCTGTGAGGAACCCGGTGTTTACTTTTATTCTAGTTTCCTTCATTAAGATGTCGGTGGCCACCGTGTTGGCCAGCAGGGAGGCGCTCCGTGCTGAGGGGTTAGGGTGTGGGAGGGGTCACACGCACAAGGAAGGCGAGCTGCTCAGGCAGGAGGCCTGCCGCTGCGTCCTCTCCTCGGCAAACACCCAGCACCAGCGTCTGTTCCCAGGGGCACTTCTCACTTCAGCTTTGGAGAAAAGCAAAATGGAGATGTCTCCCACGGCGGTTCTCACCCCCACTTCCCTCTGCCCCTCTCCCCAGGGCCCATGTGCAGAGAGGGAGGCCTGAGAATCCCAGCGGGCCCCGGAGGGATGCCCAGCCCCCGCAGGGGACACTGGGCCTGCAGGGCCACCCGCAGCCCATCACCCCTGCGGGCCTCCCGGGACAAGGAAGGGTGTGGGTGCATTTGTGGTGCAAATTCAAAACATGCTCCTGGGGAGCGGGGCTGGACAGTGTCCACAGGGCGGTATCCAGAGCTTCCCTTAGGCGTGCCTCCCTGAAGCCACGTCCACGGAGCCTGCTGGCCACTTGAGCAGAGGCTGCAAGAGTCTTCACACCCTTGGAGGCTTTTTTTTGGGGGGGAGAGGGGGGGGTCTGGCTCCAGAGCTCACCCCTCAGCAGCCTCGGTCACTTCCTAAACCACTTCATGGCACCAGTTCCTGCTACCCCGTTTCTAAACCCTCGGTCCCTTCACACGCCCAGGGCAAACACATCTGGGCAGAAAGCGTCCAGTCCAGGGCAGACACCAGGAAATGCCTGGCCATGCCCTCAGGGATCAGGCTTGCCACTGCCGTGTGGGCAGCGACCGTCACAAACACTAGGACAAAACCTCCACCACTCGCATTTCCCGTTCATGTCGTGTCCAAGTGAGCAGCCTTGACATTGACTGGCTGTCAGCTTTTCCTGCCGGGACTCAGGAAGGGAGGGATCAAAGGGTTCCTCTGGCCCATCCCTGGTGTTGAGTAGATGGGGAGAGGTCCCTCACCACCTGGCCTGGGAAAAACGCTTCACAGACAGGTTTCAAGATGACTCATGGCCGCTGTCATTGTGCCCCCCTGGCCCAGGTCACCCCGCGGGGACGCTCCCAGGGAATAGAGTCAATAAACAGGGGAAACGCAGGCCGGGAGGGCCAGCGGGGGGGGGGGGGGGGGGAGGGGGAGGGGGAGGGAGGGATGCGAGGAGAGCAGAAGGGCCTGTTTTCTCTCTCCTTCCTCAGAGTCAGGCTGCTCCCTCGCCAATCCCCAGTGACAGTGCCCTGTCATTCCCGGCTTCCCTGGAAAAGCACGCAGAACCGGCACGGGCCCTGAAAACGGGACCTGGGCGCGGGTCCAAGTCCTAGGAGAGGGACAACTGCCCGGGCGGGCAGGCGAGGAATTTCAGTAAAAAGGCCGGATGCACACCTGGGGCTGGGCGGGGCCCGGGTACCCACAGCCTGGGGGTGGGGTGCCAGGTCCGAGTGGGAAAGGGGTGCGCGGGCAGGGCCGGGGAGAGGCCGGGAGGGGGCAGTAAGAGCAAACCCGACCCAGCCTGCCGCTGAGGGGGCGGGAAGAGGACGGAGAGAGGTGTGGCCGGGGAAAGGTTCAGGTCCACAGCAGGGACCCCCGGCTGCGCCCAACTGCCCGACCTGCGGCCTTTGGGGCCTAGAGCTGGGCAGACCCTCAAGTCCCCGGGTCCAACCGAGTCGCTGCCCCCTGAGACCTCCCCCCACTCCCCAGCGCGATCTGGCTGTTCTCAAATAAATGGACACGCAGGCAGTTTCCAAAAGAGGCGAAACCGTTTATCATCAAGTCGCTGAAGGCGCGATATCTACAGTATCTACACATATCTACACGTATCTACACCGCCCGCAGACGGACGGGGCTCCCGGGCCGTGTCTACGCGGCAGCGGCGGGCCGGGCCGGGCCGGGCCGGGGCGCCGGGCCGCGCGGAGAACAATAAATACCACTTCCTTCCGCGGCCGGCGCTTTGGCACAGGCGGCGCCCCGCGGCCCCCGGGCTGGGGAGGCGGAGGCGGGGAGCGGGGGGCCGCGGGGGCGCCCAGGCTGGGGAGCCAGGTCTTCCGACAGCGCCGGGGCGGGGGGCGGGGGGCCCCGGAGCTGCGAGGCTGGAGAGGGGGCCCCGCGGAGGCCCGGGGCCGGGGCGCGCTCCCGGCCGGCCGCGGGGCCGCGGGGCCGCGGGGGCGGCCGCGTTACCGGGGGCAGTAGTCGTAGGAGCCCGGCGGCGCGGCCCCGGCGGCCGAGTACATGTTGGCGGCGGCGGCGGCGGCAGCGGCGGCGGCGGCGGCGGCGGCCGCGGGGCTCACCGCGTGGTGGTGCGGGTGCGGGTGCGCGTGGTAGCCGTGGCCGCGCAGGCCGGGCAGCGGGTAGGGCGCCGGCCGGCTCTTGGCCCCGAGGTAGTGGTCGTAGGCGGCGGCGGCGGCCGGGTACTTGTAGGGGTGGTGGTGCAGCGGCTCGGACGCGCCGGGCGCCTCCAGGCGCAGCTCGGGGTGCGGGGGGCTGGGCCGGCCTCCGGGCGCGCCGGGCAGCGGGACGAGGCCCCCGGCGCCGCCGGCCCCGGGCAGCGCGGGGCTCAGCACGCGCGCCAGCAGCGGCGGCGGCGGGGGCGCCGGGTCCCCGAGCACGGCCGGCCCGCCCGCCTCGCGCTCGAACTCCCGCCGGGCTTCGGCCGCGTCTGCGAGGAGAGCCGGCGGGTGAGCGTGGGGCGCCAGGCCACCCCCCACCCCATCACCCCCACTTCTCTCCGAACCAGCCCGAGACCCCGGCCCTCCCCAGGAGCCCGCGCCCCTCCGCGGGCGGCCGGGCGAGGCTCCGCCGTCGGGCCGGGCGGGCGAGTGCGCGCTTGCCCGCCGCCGCCGCCGCCGCCGCGGCCGTTGTGCAAGCGGCGGGGAGGCCGCGAGCGCCCCGGAGGCGCGGCAGGGCCGGGCGCAGCCGCCTCCCGGGGGCGGAGCGCGCGCGGGGCCGCGGCCCGGATCCCACGACCCCGGCCCTACCTTTGTCCGCGCCGTTGGGCTGCCCGGGGGAGGCCACCGGGTTCCGCGAGCGCGCGAAGGCGGTCATGAGCGGCAGCGCGCCGGGCCGGTGGTTGCGGGGCCTGCGGGAGGGAGGGAGGGAGCGGGCGGTGGGTCGGGGGGGGGGGGAGGATGCCCCGTTGCCGGGGGGCGCTCGCTGGCTCCTCGGGGGCACTCACCAGTCTTCAGGGTCGCAGTCTCGGAAGCCTTTGGCGAAGGGGTTGCTGGCGATCTTGAGCTGCGTGATCTGCGGGGACCGGGGGCACGCACTGAGCACGCGCTGGAGGAGCCCTGCGTGCAGGGAGCGGGGGACCCACGCGGGGACTTGGGGAGTGTTGGGGAGCATGGAGGGGGGCTGCTCCCGAGAGGGCTCCTCTCCCCTCCCCTCCCCTCCGCGGACTGAGCGCCCCGCAGCCGCCCCTCCCCCACGGAGGTTGTGCCTCTCTCCTGCGGCGGGATGTGTGTCTGCGGAGCCAGCCTCCCTTCTCGGGAAGGAGCCCCTTTGCCTCTGGGGGACCCCAAGCGGTTGGGATGGAGACCCCTACACCCTGGCTGAGATGGGAATGCGGTCCCCTCCACCCCCTCCCCGCAGGGGAGAAGAGCAGAGCGAAGGGGCGCCCTAGGAATCTGGGTAAACCTCAGATCTGGCCCCTGATGGGGAGTTTCCGGAATGGTTTGGAAAACAAACTTTCAGGCCACATTGACAGTTGCTGCTTGAAAGGTCAACCTGATAGGAGGCCGGGGCGTCCTGCGGTAGAGGGGAGGGGGCCGCGGGAGGCCCTTGGGGGTGGGGCTGCGGGCTGGTTTCGTTCTGCCCCCCCCCCCTAATCTGCAGGTCCAAACCTTCTGGGCCCGGCAGGGGCTGACAAACCTCACCCCGTCCCAGAGGCTGGAGGTGCGGGCGGTCCGCAGGCCGCACTCACCCTGTGGTTCTGGTAGGCGGTGACTGCCGTGAAGCGCGTCTCCTCGAACACAAAGGTCTTGAAGTTCTCCTCGGCGTACTTCTCGCTGTCCTTGCGCGGGTCCACGTACACCACGTGGAAGCGGGGCTGGTATCTGTGCATGGAGTTGAGAATAATCTGGAAGACAAGGTGGCGAGGCGGGAGCTAGGGAATCGGCCGAGATCTTCACAGGCAGCGAACGGAGAACTCGGGCAAAACCCTTATCTCCCCACATGAGGCCTGGCCAGGGGGACCCAGGGGGACACTGTGACCAACGGGGTGGGGCCACAAGGAGGAAAAAAATGCTCCTCCGAGCGAAGCTTAGATTCTCTTTCCTTAACTCATCGCCAGCCTGGACTCCAAAAAGCCTTCCGCACAGACCCCCACGGCCAGCCGGCACCCTCTTTTCCGGTTAAAAATCAACAAAAGATGGGGCCCCTTCTCCCAGGCCTGAGGTCCCCCAGATCCTGGGAGCCCCTGACCAGACGGGCTGTTCTCTGCAGCCTGTCCCTCACCCACACCCCAGCCTGCCCTCTGGCGTGCAGGGACCGCGGAGGGAGGGCCTGCAGGGGTGGGGTCCCCCCCCCGTGGTGGCCAGCTGGGGGCAGGGGGTCGCTCACGTGGCCGTTGTCGTCCAGCAGGTTGTTGGTCAGCTTGAGCTTGTCGAAGGACACGATCTGCTTCATCCACTGGGCGCCCTTGGCGGGCGAGTCCGGGTGGTAGTGCACTCGGCCCGGCGTGGCGGGGTCTGCCTTCCCCGCCACCAGCCAGGAGGAGCTGTGGAAGGCGTACCTGGGACAGCAGCAGAGCATGGGTCACGTCCTGAGGGGGGGGCGAGCTGACAGGGGCTTGCTGAGGGAACCCCGAAAGCGCCTCTGATGAGTTTCCCCCATCGGGGAAGCTTTGGCTGCTGCACGCAGGCTGGGAAAGCTTTTCCGAGGAGAAAAACAGAAATCTCCCTCCAGTCCCAACACACAGGACAGCGGGAATCCGCGCCCAGGAGAGGGGAGGGGAGGATGGCGGAGGGAGGCTGAGCGCCCGGTGCCACATTTCGCTGCACACGGGTCTGCCTGCTCTGGCCCTCCCTGCTGCTGGCCTCCCGTGTCGCCTGCTCAGCGGGCGCCTGGGTCTGGCCACGAAGGCTGCCTGGGGCACCGGGCAAACCGCGTTCTCTTTATTAATTGCTGTTAATTGTCCAGGCAGCTAAGGCCCGCCCTGCATAATCTCTCCCAGTCACCCCTCCTTTCCTGCCCTGCTTGTGTGTGTGTGAGGGGAGGGGGGGCAGTATTCCCTGGGGGTGGGGGAAGGGGACAAGGTGTGCACCTCCTGGGAGGAGACAGGACGAAGGGGGGCTGTGTGTTGGGGTCTCCCCTGCATGGGCGCTTGCTGCGGTGGGCCTGAAGCTGGTGGGGAGGTGAGCAGCCTGTGTGACCTCCTACATGGGGTTCTGGAGAGCCTTCTGGGGGGCGGGATGTTGGAGAGTCTGGGGTCCCCCAGAGTGGCAAGGGAACGGGACACAAAAGCTAGTGGGGATGCTGGCACAGATGCCTTTGGCCACCGCATTGCCAATGTCGTCGTCGTGGGCTGTGCCCAAGATATTGCCAGGCAGGGAGCCGTGGCTGCCCAGGGCACCCTCCCTCCCGGGTCCCGCTGGGCGCTCACCGGTAGCGCTTGTCGTCCACGGGCACGAAGTCCATGAGGAGCATGTAGTCGGCCATGGGGTCCATGCCGAACAGCTTCACTTGGAAGGTGGGGAACATGCGCCTGGGAGACAGGACGGCAGGAGGCAGGTCACCTTAGACTGAGAGGGACAGGATGGCTGCTCCACCTTGACCAGCCAGGGAAGGGCTGCCTCCGTGACTGCGGAGTGTGCTGTGGGGCCCGGTCCCTCCATCTCAGCTCCCCTCGCTCGCTCAGCGGCTCTAGCCCGACCAGGCCCCTGCGCAGCGAGGGTAAGATGTGCCCCCGTTTTTTAAAGCATGAAAACGGCCAGCTCAACCCTGGGGCTGAACCTCCACACCCTGGCCCTGGCCAATCGCTTCTGTCACCCTCGCCTGCGTGGACCCAGCCTAGCAATCGCCGAGCTAGCCTCTGCCGGCAACACCCCAGCCACATGATCCAGCCCCGGCCCTCAACACAGCCACCCCGGCTCCGTCTAAGCTCCCGGCTCAGACAAAGTGAAACCGGGGTATTTTTTTCTGTGAGATTCCAAGGAGTCCTGGTTGCACTTTCGCTCGCCTGGGCCGAGGCTGTTCCCGGAGCCCGCAGGAAGGCCTAGGCCCTGGAGCCCGCAGCCTCTGCTGTGACCCATCCCTCAGGCCCTGCCTCCCACCAGCCCAGAGCTGGAGTCTCCCTACCTACAAGTTCCCGCTCCCCCAACTGCCACCATAACCCTAAGGCACAGCTACTCGGGCAGACCTGGCTTGTGCCCTCATGGTCTCTAACTCTCCTTCCCTCAGGGCTCCAACTTGATAACCAGATCAGGCTCGTGAGATGGGCTGCTGGCTATGGGCTGGCCCTGAAGCACAGCGCTAGGTGTAGCCCACTGCCCTTCCTACGGCTTCCCCTCACTCCCTGCAGGCGGTGGGCAGAAAACAGATGACACTGAGCTGGCTCTCCTGGACTGGCCTGCCACCACCACCACCACCACTATCATCCCAACTCTGCAGGCTGGAGGGTGCATGCTGACTCCTGGGGTGAAGCCTAGCGGGTGCCAAGACCCTTGCTGGGCTGGGCTGGCCTGGATCAGAGGCTGGGGCACAGTCCTGGGGGAGGGGGGTGCCCAGGACAGCACGGAGAGCCAGGAGCAGACCCGCTGAGCTGGAGCTGAGCGTGGGCCCCAGGCTGCCCAGGGAGGACGGCCTCGGCGAGGAAACAGAAACCACCAGAAGGCTCTGCAAACAGGCCCCGAGCTCCCTTTGGCTGGGCGGACGCGGAGCCGGTGTCTCTGTGTGTACATTAGACACAGCCCGGCACTCTGCCTTTGTCTGCTGGTCAAATCCGTTGCATCGAAAAACTTGTTCCCCTTCTTCTCTCGGGGCCCTTACAGCAAATACAGGCCAATTGGAGGACGCGGCCCGGCGGCAGAGCCAGCCCCCACAATCACCCGGAATTCAGGCCTAAGACAACTGGGTAGCAAAGCTCCACGGCACAGGACACGCTGTTTTAAGAGTCCTAATTCCCCCCTAAAATGTTCCCGACAATTGCCCAGCTGCTCCTCTTTCGCCGGAATAGACCGAACTAAAGAACCAAAGACCGAGTTTCCTTGGAGGTGGGATCCACCACCGGGAGGGAGCCGGCGCTGGAGCCGGCTGGTGGCAAGGCCCCTCACGGGCGGCTGCCTTCCCTCCCGGGCTCGGCTCGGTGTGTGCTCAGAGCCGGTCCGGTTCCTGGGCTGCTGCTGGTCGGGGCGGCCGGTCCGCAGGGTTTCTATCCGCCTTCCCGGCCAACCGAGCAGTCCCCTCTTGCCCGGCCTGGTGCGCCGGGCGGCCGTCGCTAGAGCCGGGTCCCGGGGAGCTGGCCCCGCGCGCAGAGGGGCCCGCAGGTGGCCAGGCCGCGCCCCCCACCCCGCTTCCCGGTCTCGGTCTCGCTCGCGTGGATCGGGCCACAGCCCGCTGCCCCCCGGGCCCGGCGCCACGTGGGGAGGGTCGCGGCGGGGAGAAGGGCGCCCTGACCTGCCGGCCTTGGTGACGATCATCTCGGTGCCCAGCTGGTTGAACTCGTCCCACAGAGCCTTCATCTCGAGCTGCACGCTCACGCTGGCCACCTTGGCGTTCTTCTTCACCGGCGCCTTGGCGGCGGCCGCGCAGCTGGCCCCGGGGCCCTCGGGCTCGGCGGCGGCGCTGCTGGCGGCCCCGGCGGCCGGCGCGAACGGGTAGGCGTGCGGCGGCGGCGGCGGCGGCGGGCCCGGGGCGCCCGGGGCGGCGGCGGCGGCGCACGGGTCGTAGCGCGGCGGCGGCGGCGGCGGCTCGCGCGGGCCGTAGGGGTCCGCGCCCGGCGACGCGGCGCCCGGGAAGCCCCCGGCGGCCCCCAGGCTGCTCAGGCTGCTGGCCGTGAAGGCTGCAACGTCGCAGAAGTGCGAGAGCTGCGTGAGCCACGGGCTGGACACGGCGGAGATCATGACCCGCGGGCCGCCAACCCCGCCGCCGCCGCCGAGGTGAGCGCTCCCCCGCGCCCCGGGCCGAGTGGCGGGCGCCGCGCCGCGCCCGGGGCCGCGCCGCCCCACACCGCGGGCCGGCCCCGAAGAGGCGCCCCGCCCCGCCCCGCCCCGCGCTCCCCACCCCACCCCCGCCGAGACAATGCCTCCTTCCCCTCCCTCCTCCCCTCCCCGCGCCCCTCCTCCGCCCCTTCCCCCTCCCCGGCCCCCAGCCCGCCCGCCCGCCCGCCGCGGCTCCTCGGCCCGGGCCCCCCGACCGCCCGGACCGGCTCCCCAGAGCGCCGGCCGCCCGCCCGCCCGCGCGCCCGCCGCCCCTCGCTCTGCCGCCCTCCCGCGTTGCACTTCTCCCTTCTCGGTCTGTCCAGGCTCTCTTTCCAGTGTATTTATTTATTTTATTTTTTTTACCTTTGTCTTGATCATTTAAAATCTCCCTCCTAGTCTGTCTTCCCTTCTCCCACTATCTCTTTCGTTTCTCTCTATTTCTGTTGGCTTTTCTGCCTCTTCCTCGTTTTCCTGTTATGTCTCTTTCTTTCCGCTTTATTTTTCATCCTTCTTTTTTCTTTTTCCGTCTGCCTTTCCCCTCTGGTTTCTGAATATCCTTCTTTGTTATTCATTGTTTTTTTCCCCTCTTTTTTAAACAAAATGAAAACAAGTTTTTCTCTAACTTTTTCTTTTTTTTAAATGACTTTCTGAAAATTTCTTTCCCTTGCTGCTTTTTGTTCTTTTTCTCCTTTCTTTTTTTCCTTACCCTCCTTTCCTGTTTTCTCTCTCTTTTTTCCCCCCTCAATTTCTTCTCCTCCTGGCTGCCTCTCTTTCTCCTTTTTCCCTCGTTCCTTGCGCTTTCATCCCACCTCCCCCAGCTGAGGGCTTCTCCCTCTGCCCCCTTCTCTGGTCCTCCTCTCCTGTCCTTCCCCGCCTCCACTCACCTCTGCTGGGCCTGTGTCTAGCTTTGTGCAGGTCTCTGGAGCTGCGTCCCCAGGCTGGAGGGTGCACAAGCCGTGGGCAGGATGCCCGCCCTTTCTCTGCCCCAGAGCTGAAGCTAGAAGCCTGGAGCCCACCCTGCCAGAGCTCCCCTCACACCCACTCGGTGCCCCGGCCCTGCCAACCCTCTCTGGGGCAGCGGTGGCAGAGGATCTGGAGGGCGGGCGGCGGTGTAGACGCTGCAGGAAGGCTCACCTTCCATGTCCCTGGTGACGGTGCTGAAGTGCATCCCGACCGGGGATCCCAGCAGCCGGTGAAGCTTCGCCGCCCGGTGGGAGGCCCCAGGGCCCAGGCGAGCGGTGCGCTCCGCGGCCTCTGCTGCAACCAGAGAGGCGATGCTGAACGCGCTGGCCCGGGGAGACAGCGGGCTGCGCGCGTCCATAGGCGCCCGGCGGCCTGGCCGGCGCCGCCTCCGACTGCGTGCACCCAGCCGCACCGAGGCCGGCCCAGCCCACGGGAACCGGGGGCGGGAGCCTGCGGTGCCACTCACAGCCCTTAGCCCAGACCCAGGGGATTATGGCGTCACGGCCCCCCACTCCCGACCAGTGGCAGCCGAGGGGCCCGGCCGGGCGGGGCGCCCAGAGAGCATGGGGCCCTTCTGCTTTTCAAGTTCCTCGCCCCTGGCCTCTGCTCCCGGGGACCTCCATGGCCAGGGCCCCTGGGACATCCCGCTGCTCCCACGGAGGCCAGGCTTCTGTCCGTCAGCCTCCACAGCCCCCGGGGGAAGGGGGTTATACCGGGAGCACTCAGCCCCAGCCCGAGGCAGTGGAGCACGGAGGAAACACCAGGGGCCGCCTGGGCCCAGCCCAGCCCCTACCCCTGCCCTCAGCCCCTCCTGCCTCCTCCTCCTCCCTGGCTGCCCCTGCACCTGGGTGAGGAGAGGGCAGTTCAGGCTCCAGCACGGCCTCTGCGAAGCAGGACAGTACCCCGGCCAGCGAATGCCCCGGGCCCCCTTCGATTGGCTCACTGCTGTGGCCGGGGACCCCAAGCGGAGGGACACCGCCCAGGCTGCGGCAGCCCAGCCCGGGAGCCCCAGCGTCACGCGCAACCCGCGTACACCGCCCGCCTCTGGCCGGGACGCTTATACATCCGGAGGGTGGGCAGTGCCCGCTCCTCTGACCTCCCCGCGCACCGGCCAGGCGCAGGGAGGGCCGGGGGCGGAGCCTGGACCGGCCGAGGGAGCCGAGGACACGTAGGGAGCTCAGGCCTCCCAGTGCGGCGGTGTGCTGCTGCCCCTCGCTGCATCCCGCTCCGCAGTCAGCCTGCCCCCCGGGGTAGTTAGCCCAGCACAGTGAGGCAGGGCCTGCCTGAGGCCTCCAGGCCCTTAGGCACAGGCATCTGGGATGAAAAGGCCGGGCTTAGCTTGTGCCTTCTCCTACCCACTGCTTCCGGGGCCTCCTCTGACCCTAGCAGGCACCCATGGCCTCCCAGTCCGGTGTCTCCAGAGCAAGCCTCCGTGCCTCCCAGGAGCCTCTTGGTCCCGCACGAAGGCTCGGGCAGCCAGGGCCTCCTTCCCAAGGCCTCTCCGCCTGCAACCACATCATTTGCCTGTGCTTGTCTGGAGGGGGGTAGGGGGCAGGCAAGGCAGTCTCTTTCGGGGCTTTTACAATCCCAGGGCCTCGGACCTGAGGCTGCAGGGGTTGTTACTGGCTGGGAGGCAGGGAAGGCCCAGGAAAACCGGGGACTAAGGGTTAGGCTCCAGTGGGAAGTGCCGACTTTGGGGCCTGAGGTCCAGGAAAGGGTGTGAGGCCGGTGGGTGAGCATGTGGGGTGGGTGTGCTGTGTGTGACCTCATGCACAGCCAGCCCCTCACACCTCCCCCTCCCCCAGCCCACCCCCAGGCTTTATGGGCTGTGGAAGGGAAGGGAAGATGTTAGCAGGGACGGCGACAGTGACAGCGACCTGTGGGACCTAGGGCCAGGTCCAAGGAGGAGTGTGATGTGGGACTAGCCAGGCTCCCCTGTCCCCCCTTGGTGAGCAGAGGGGAGAGCCCGGCGGGGAGGGGACACCAGTGGGGCAGATCAAGGAGTATTGCAGGAGCTGTGCCTGGTGCTGGCGGTTCACATCCAGAGATGTGCAGGGCCCTGTTACCGTGTCCCCAGGGGGGACCTTTTGCTGGTATGTAGCTATACCCACCCACCGTTAATGTGTGGGCTCCCCTGTGGGGTTCCGTGGGGTGGGTTGTGCGTTGTCCGGGATGCATGTTGTCCCAGCACTCGGGGTGCCAGTGATGGCGTCCTCCTCCGAACCCGGGGGAGCCTTCCCTGTATGTCCAGGACGAATACCTGAATGAAGGCAGCGGCCAAGTGAGTCCCAGGGTGACACCAACACCGAGAAGTGAAAGTGAAAAACCCCGGGTCTTCCCGGACACTCTGGGTCGGCCTCCTGGGGCGCCATCCTGAGGTCCCTGACCCTCCAGGGCAGAGGTGGGGAAGGGAGAGGGGGTCCTCCCAGCCCTCATTAACCCCTTCCTGCTCATACGGGGACCCGCCAGGGGCAGGCTGTTCTGTCCAAAGCTTCAGAGCCGAGGAGAAACTTCTTCGTGGTCCACGACTGGGCGACAGGGCGACAGGGCGCTGGGTAGGTGTGAGGGGCCCCACCCGGGCTGCTCGGGTTTGCTGAGCGATTCGCTCCACGCTGCTGCCGGTTCTGACACGGAGCGACTGCATAACCGCGGACCCCGCTGCCCCACGCGCGGGCCCTCCTGGAGCCCAGAGAGGCCGGAGGCGCCAGGCCGCCCGCCCGAGCCTCCAGCCTTCACCGCGCACCGGCTGCGCTCTCCGGCCTCCCGTCCGTCCCTCCCCGGCCGCACCGCCCTCCCGCTCCGCCACGCTCCCCCGCCCGCAACCCGCCCCGGCTCCCGGCCGTCCGCGCCGCCCACCCTCCCCGGTGCGGGCCGCCGTGCGCCCGGAGGGGACGCGCCCGCGGGCGGCCCGGCGCCCCGAACACCCCGTCCCCCGCGCACCGCGCCCCCCGCGCCGCCGCCCCCGGAAGGCTCCCTCCCTCACCTGGACGGGCCGCGGCTCCCTGCCGCCTCGCTCCCCCTGCCGGCCGCGCCTCCATGACGCCGCCGGGGCAGGAGGCCCGGCCGCGCGGACCCGGGGGGCGGGGGGGCGCAAACCGAGGCCGGGGTCCCGGGCGGCGCGCGGCTGCGGCCTGGACCTGGCGGCGCGGCCCTCCGCCTGGGACGAAGAGGGAGGACCAGACCCGCATCTCGCCGCGCCGGGCCGGCCGGCGGGCTGGCTGGCCGCGAGGTAGGTGCTATGAGACCATTTCACAGGCCGCACCGCCGAGGCTGGGGCTCGGGCCGGCTGCCGGGAGGACGGAGTGGAGCCGGCCGCCTGGCGGAGGGCGGGCGGCGGCGGGGCGCGCAGGGCGCTGCGGCCGCGGCGCCTCCTTGGCTTCTCCCCGCGCACGGTCCCACGTGGGGTCCCCCGGCACTGCCCCCGGGAGCCTGGCGCCTCGGCTCACTCAGCGCCGCCTTCCCCCGCAACCTCGGAGAGTTTCGACTAAAGCGAGCCCCGCGTCCAGCCCGATTTCGGGTGTTTTCTCCCCGGCGCGCCGGGGGTGGGGGAGAGGCGGCCCCTGGGGAGGCTTGGGCTTGGCTGGCTCGTCGCCGCCCAGCCCCGCCTCCTCGGAGCGCACCAAGCCGGGCACCCCCACATTCTCTCCGCGGGGACCCCCTCTCCGCGCTCTCGGTCCGTTGTGAGCGCACGTCCGTCCACCGCGCCGCCGCGTTCCGCGCTCGGAATCCGCTCCGGCCTCTTTGTTCCCGGCCTGGGGGGGGACCTGCGCGCCCCGACGCGCCTCCGGCGGGCGCCGAGCCCCTGCGCCTTGCCCTGGAGTGCTCCCCAGACAAGGTGCACCCCCCCTCGTGCGCCCCCGGGCTCCCCATGGGTGCCGGGCCCTCCGGGGCAAAAGCAGCGCCGAGGGATGCGTGCAGGCGGCCCACGGGATGTGAGTCCGTGGTGCCCTGGAACCCCCCTCCTCTCCTCCCCTAGGAATCAGAGAACGGAGCGGAGGAGACCCGGGTTGCATCACCCCCGGCTCAGACAGAGGGGGGCTGGGCTTTCCTGGACCCCATTCATTCGTTGCAGAATTGATTAGCCGGGGACTGCGTCCAGCGCCTGCCCGGACTCGGCCTCGGGGGTCTCCCCGGGGAGGCCCCGCGCCAGGAGCAGCTTGAACCGTGTCAGGGGCTCCTCCCCGGCCCGCAGCCCTCCCTGGGCCTCTGGGGGCCCGGGTCTCAGCGGGGGCAGCGGCAGGGGGCAGGAGAGGAGCCGCCTTCGCTGGAGCCGGGCTCCGTGGCTTCGTCCTCCCTTCCCGGCTCTGTCCCCACCGCTCGGATTGGGAGTGCCCTGCCCTGCTGTCCCTCCATTCACCGGCGGTGCTTGGCCCGAGATGCCTGCGAGTGATCTCGGCTTTCTGGGTAGCCCTGATGGGCGTGATGGGCGGGTAGGGACCCCGGTGCCCCCTTATCCTCCAGTCGCTGTGCTGAGACCTCCCTTCACTGTGTCCCCGGTCTCAGAAGACCCCTGAGGCTCTGCGTTTGGGGGGAGGAGCGGGCGCGGCTAGTGCCAGGGCTGCGTCTAAGCCAGAATCTAAAATCTAAGCCAGAATCGGAGTGGGCACCTCCGAAGCATGGCCATGCGGACACGGTGGGTGCCCGGTCAGCAGTGGAGGCCTGCGGAGCTTGCCCTGTGGCCAGGGCTGGGGCCACCCTGGGGGCCTGGGGCAGGAGCAGTTTTCCTGCTCACACACCCTCCCTGGCACAGGTCGTGGGCTCTTGGGACACCGCCCCGCAGAGGTGGAGGAGGTAACCCTCTCTCCCCCGCCCCTTGGGGAGAGCAGTGGCCCCACTGCCCTGACTGTCCCCTGGCCCTTCCCTTGGCTGCCCCCCTACTGAAGCCGCAGTCCCTGCCAGCCCACCCTCCCCCCCCACCCCAGGCGTCCTCCTGGGTGTTGGGCCCTTACAAACCTTGGGTAGGGGCACAGCGGTGCACGCATGAATGGAGTCCACACGAGGAGGGACTCAGCTCCAAGCAGATTCCCCAGTGAGGCTGGGCAGACAAGCCCAGAGGAATTCTCAAAAAGACTCAGGAGTTAGAAACAGCCTGGTGAGTGCACTCTGGCGGCGTGGAGCGGGTGGGGTGGGAGTGAGCTGAGCGATGGCCAGGGAGGAGCTGGATCCCCCCACACACACACATCCCCCACTTCTCCCAAAGCATCA